TTCTATTTTGTAATATTTTTAATTTTATTTTAACTCAAATGTTATTCAATTATTTTTGTTGATGCATCATTGCAATCCTGCTTACGAGTCAGAAAAAATGCAATTTTTGTGATTTTTTTGAAGGGGCGTTATAGGACGAAAAAATTACTTCTGAAATAAGATAAGACAGATTTTTCTTGAGAAACCGGCAAACTCTGTTTTGCCTTAGAGRAAACAAATAARCAAGCTTTGGATTTTGTTAAGTCCTTTTCCAGGAAATATAAATAAAATATTTAAGTATTTTAATGATTTTTTATTGATCAAGTWTTCTAGTGCAGAGGTGACCTTCCATGGATATTCTAGAATCAAACCACAAACTTTAAAAGATGGTCCTTGTGTTTCACCTTCGAATTTTCCATTAAGTGTTGTAACGCAAATCACATCGTTTATCAATTTACTTACCACCAAAACGAGTACCGTTATATCGTTTTTKCTGGTTTATGTTTCGATTACTACGGATCCAACCATTAGGCGTAAATTGTGCGCTGCCAACTCAGCCTCATCCAAGGAGTTTAAATATTTAATTGATTAGTTAATGGCTTCATATTCATTACTTWASCAATAGATTTTTAATTCGCTCACTCTACAATTCATTACCTTTGTGTTTGGTAATGATATTTGTTGATAAATTCAACTTTCGATAAGACAAATGAGAAATCAATCCGATTCATCAACAGGAACTCAACTCTTACCTATAGTCAAGAATTGCTCAAAGAAATCTTCAGCAGATTTCCCATTAATCAATGCGGTCATTCATTTCACAATTTGGCGTTGGCATGTCTTCGATTAAGTGTAAAGCCCTATTATGTATCTCAAGATCGTCATTTCTGGATAGAATACGAATTTGAAGCAAAATATCTGCAGAAGTCGAATTGTACTGACTTTGAACATAAAAGGAAACGTTTTGGAAAYATTTCCTTCACGTTTCGAGAAAAACCGCGTTGTAACAATTTTGAAAATTCACCGACTTTGCAAACAGCCTTTCGAGATCATTGCTCAAACTCTTTAAGTAGTGTACCTCTTATTATCGATAACTTAAGCGCAGGTTATATATATTTTGAACCACTAGAATTTTCATTTATTCCAAGCTTATCACTGCTTAAAATGTGTGCCAAATTATATAACGTATTAATGGCACCATCATGTAAGAATTTGAGTTGTAGCTTCTCTGTTTCTGCCCGTTTTGTCGTTAATTTAACGTCATTAACCAGGAAGTTGCCATGTAAGTGGAATATGGTGTAAAAAAGTACGGAAGTTCTTGCCGCTCAAGGGGGAAGAAAATTTCTGATTCCGATTAAATTTCAAAATATAAACGCTTTTTAGCTCTTTTTTTGTTAATATTTAATATTATAAATTATCAATTTTAACTATTTTTGGCAAATTCTAAGTTCACGATCCTTGAACAAAATCCTGATGAACATGTTTAAAACATTTCAATGCGGCTGCTAAATTTTTGCGATTATAATCAATTAAATCTACATAATTTGTTAATTTATAATTGTGTTAAATTATATTTTAATTAAATTAAGTTCAAGCAATATATCACCTGTCTTAAATAAAGTAATTGAAGACTAAGCAAACTCTCATAAAAGCCACAGTTTGTATTGCCATTAAAAAAAAAGAAAAAACAAAAAGGAAAAATTTATAAAAATTATTGTTATAATAAAAGAAGTACATGAACAATAAAGAAATGAAAATTGTGCAACATAAAAGAAATATTAGTGAGTAATGCTAAAACTAAAATATACTAGAAATATTAAAAAAAAAAAATCATAGTATGCGATTAAGATATGTGCATGCACGCATATACATATACATATGGAAAATAATAATAATAATAAATATAAATATTTATTTAAATGCATAAGTTCATCATATCCCATAAAAGAATAGAAAAGTGCATGAATGATCATGTGCCCGCAATGAGGGAGATTCGTATGTACGTACGTATACATACAAATACATATGTATGTATATATGTRTATGTGCAATCAAGGGTATGTAAAATGTAATGTATTGGCTAATCTATACCGTAGTTATTATATATAGTATGTATGTAGCACATATACATAAAGCCATTACTACACTGTAAGTCATAAAATAAATTCATAAGTTTATTACAATAACAGCAAAAAGTTATAATAAATGTAAACGGACAGTCTTATGTTTGTTTAGAATTAAATAAAATAAAATTAAGTAACAAAATAAATATGTGAATAAAGAATTAAACATTTCGCTGTTGTACGGTTATTTCTTCGYTACGGCAGTAAGTTTCTTGTAGTRCTGAAGGCAGCTAAAATTTATATGAAAAACATTCTTACTTATATCTTTTCATGTTGAAATTCTAAATACTACTGAATACACTGAAAAAAAAAAAATTGATAGGTAATGATATATGATTAAAAATGGCCGAAACGGTACCTAGAAATAATAGTATCCCTATATGAAAATCCGAAAGATGCTGAATATGTTACATGGGTTTCCTCAGGTAAAAAACATCCTTTTTTCAACAATTTTTTTCTAATATAAAAAATGAAATATTTTGTTAAAATTTTTTATTGTTACAATCATACACTATTAACAAGAAATTCTGAAACATTTGGAAAAAATATTTTAGACTCTGCCATTGCGACGACATTTCCGGAAACAAATGCCTCGCGTTGGCAGGATAACYTCTCATGTAAAGTGAAAATATACCTGTTAGTTAAAACCATAACTTAGAACTTAGACGAAAGCAAAACTAAAATTAGATTTTTGACAGACCTTTTTACACCAAAAATTAAACTTTCAGTAATTTCTTGAATTTTTTTTTTCAAATAGTAGTAATCAAAAAAAATAAAAAAAAAACAAAAAATAAAATTAAAAAAACGCAGTTCAACTCGGATAGACTTGAAAATTTGGACAATGTTTTGGACATGTTATAAAATATCAAAAAAAATCGATTTTTTGAAACCCGTAAAAAACTACCCTATTGACAAACACCAGACATAATGAAAAATTTAAGCAATTGCTTAGCTATAGCCAAGTTATAACCAAACCTTTAATTTTTTTTTTTTTCAATATGCCTAATTTCTAATTTAAAAATTTTAATTCCTATAGATACAATATGCTTAGGGAAATAATTAAAGACTACATATTCTAATGGGCAATTATTCATTTATTGGTTTTGTTTGGACGAAGCTTTGATGTTCATATCTACTTTCAGTAGGGYTTAATATTTAAATATCTTTGAGAAAATTTTCGTATTTTTGGTTTATCATTTGTTTTCTTTTTTCTAATTTGCATACATTTTCAATAATTTTTCCTATTTTTATGCAAACTTTTCACACTGAATATCACTTAGACTAATTTCAATTCACTTTGTTACATAATATTTGTTTTTGTTTTCATTTCGGTTGTATAAATTTCGAKCCTTAGTTAAATACTATGACAACACACGAGTTAAGCATGCAAAATTTCATAACAAGTATATAAATACAATCTGTGTTTTTTTAAGTTTAATTTTTTTTTTTTTTTTTTTTGGTTACTAATATTTTTTGGGTGTGTTTCTAACTGCTCAATAAATATTCAAATAATTAATAAATAGCAAAGTAATAAATATAAAATGATTGTAAAGTAAAATGAGACCGCTTTTAAGGCGTCACAACAGCGCTGCTGCATACATTCCAGCAAAATGGGCGTGGGCGAGTGTTTGGACCACTTGATTCTGAGCTTTCAATTTATGCTGCCTACAAATACGAGTATAAGTCAAGAAGAATCCTTTCTGTTCCACATTCTTCGCTKGAAAGGACGCTTAAATGTCCCGCAGTTAAGTTTTTTGATTGAAAAGTCACTGAATCAATTACACTCGGGCGCCATTTTGCATATTCGCTTGGAATTCATTTGCCGAACACATGCCCTTATTTGCTTAGAGTCGTTCGTTCGACGTTTAAATGTTAGTCGTTCGACGTTAAAAGTCGTGTTTGATATCGGCAATGCAGTTTCAAGTGTTGGCTGATTAAAGTAAAGAAGCTTAGAAAATAGTTTAGATTAGCATGCAAACTTAAACTAGAGAAGATTTGTAATAAATATCTTAATTCTAAATATGAAATGRTTTGACCTGGGCACTCTTCGAGCATTTCTAATCTACACTTTATATAATTTGGAATTATTTCACTTTTCAATATACACTTTTGGTTTTTCTTTTGGAATTGAGCTTTGCTCTAGGTTAGGTTAAGCTTTGCTCTACCATTGATTTGACGGACGTCGCTCGGCACCGGGTGCTGCTGAGCCGGAGAAGCGTGGCGATGAGTTGTTCGATTGTGATGCCGAGATAATAGGCATGGCGGCATGAGTAGCCTCGTTGGCTTGCAAAGTGTTAATGGCCAAGAGCAGCTTTCGGCGCGCACCGAAAGCGGTTATGCCCAATTCTAGTAAATTCTCCTCATTTAAGGTCGTGAACATTTCGAGATCTATTTCATTCGTAACGAAGGTCTCTAAAAGTGTTAATTTTGCAAAAAATAAAATTTTAAACAAATTGTACATTCTACTAATTCCAATTCCTAATAGCAAAGGCTTACTTATATAGTGCTCCAAGCCAAGGCTTGTCAATAGCGTGTGTATGTCCTTATGTTGGGACAATTTAAGTCGCCGATTTGTTGGTGTAGCATCCATCAGGCCAACGGTAATACCTAGCGCATAAGGAGATATCGGTGCAGCACCAGCACCAGCGCCACCGTTGAAGTTCATGCCATGCACGTTGCGTGGCCATAAGTTGTCATCGGCGCTCTCTAGAATGCCCGGCGAAGTACGGCTCAAGGCCATGCCAGCCCAATTCGGTGTGGGCGTACGCAGCTCGCCGYTTATCGGTGGACGCTCCATTGCTTTGAAGCCCATGGCGCGTTTCATATCGAAATCAAAGACGCGATTTTGCTACAATTGATTACAAGCGGCTGTGGTAGCAACCAACATGGTTATGCATATATGTACATACCTTCATTTCGTAATGCAAGTTGCGGTAGCTCTCAGCACTGCCTGGCATAAGCGGTGCGCCAAGCGGGCCAGAAGCGCCTAACCCCAACAAGACACCGTCACTTGAGCGCCGACCCACACGTCCACATCCAGCTTCACTGCTGTAGGTCGAGTCGGGTGAGTACTGGCCACGCGAGTTCATCTCACCATTTGGCGCCACCAACCGATTACCGCCCGCTCCACCGCCGCCATAGGGTGGATAGACTTGTTCCAAGGAATTGGTACTACTGCTGAAGCTCTGGTAGCCGCTGGTGTTGTGACAGCTATTGCGCGGCGATATTTGTTGCTGCTGATGCAAATTGATCTGCGGAGCGCGYTGTGGCGGCGCAATCGGCGGTGTTACTTGCAAGTAATTATTATTGTGGTTCGGTTGCTGGCGACTGAAGCTGTTGTTGTGCATTGTCACGTACTTCTGAGTGGGTGGACAGACGTTGGTTGGCGTGCAAACACCAAAGCCCGGTGGATATGATTTGCTGTTATTATTGCTATCGCTTCTGTTGTTGTTGACCAATAAATTGTTGTTGTTATTTAGTTGGCCATTGACACCGTATGGTGACATCTGCAATTGCGCCGTTAGCAGACTGGGAGTCTTGGGGCTATCCGGGTAGCCAGCTAGCAATGAAGTCAACATCGTGCGATAGCTGATRTTCAGCTCCTTATCTCTCGGCGCGAAGTAGCTCTCTGGAATAGTCGCTTGTAAAAGCGGCGAGCTGAGATGCAAAATCTCCTGACGCGCTTCGTAAATTTTGTCTAATACAAAAACAATTGAGGGATATTATGGAGACATTTTTGGTGAATTCATTTTGGAAATTGGTCTTAAGGAAATATGTTACTTACCAATAAATTTCTCGACACCCTTCACAACAATGGCCAAAGTGCTTTGTCTTTGCTTTTGACGCAATGAAATGTAGACGCCATATTTGGTGCTGAGGCCTATTATTTCAGAGGCATTGTTTTGATTGTCCGGAAAGTCGAAAATCAAAGCTATCGGCAGGTTACCCTTTAATAGAAAGAATTTATAGTTTAGTGGGAGATTGAGAAGAGATGCTTTTCAAAAACATACAAGCAATTGTTGACGTGCTTTATAGACGCCGTCGATAGTTCCAGTAATGGTCACTTGAGATTTCTTCAAAGGTTTAACATTCAAGTCCGAGAGATCAGGAAAAATAATCTGTAAATAAAAGACTTTCAAGCATTTTCCATAACCGGTGTTCTGCAATAGCTTACCTTAGTCTTCGTACGCTCCATGATTCCTAGCAAATTTGAATTATTTTTGCCTTTCACAATTTCGTGATGCTGTGGCGATATCTCCAGCTGCATCTGCACCATAATCTGGTTCTAGGCAAACAATAAAGACAATTTTCGGACACCGAAAACAGAAACAAAAAGTACAAAACGAGTTATATAGAACTATATATATATGAGCTCCACTCACAGCTATATTTTCGCAAGAGAAATTAATCAACAATTGAGTTGCATCCTGCACTTTTACAGCCTCCTTTTCAGAACCCTTGACCAGCACTAACGAAGAATGGAGTTTAGGACGAGACGAAAAGATAACCTGAGGGTTAAAATATTAGATTTTTTATAAGGATTTTTTTTTTTTTTTTTTTTTTTTTGCCTTTGATCACTCACTTGCACATTATATTTTGTTTCGACCATTTTTACGTAAGGCGTGTCATGATCGGGCTGTAGGCGACCTGGCGCTAAGATGGGCAACTCGAAAGAGATTAACAGTGGTGTAGAGAGGCGCACCAAAGCGCGTGCGCGCTCAACACCCTCGAGCGAACCGCATAGGGAAACCTGATTAGATTTCTCCGTGGGATTTGAACGATTCGAATCCGGAAAATGTATATGCGTTGCAGTGTCCTCCATAATACGCTTTATATTATTGCCACCACGTCCAATAATATAAGAGTGATCCGTGTAGGACACATCCATCTTCATAATAACGCGAGTTCCCTAAAAAACGCAGAATAGTGTTAATATCGTAGCGTTAAAAAAATTGTATAAAAATGCAAATGATTGCAGAAATAATACTCTTGAATCCAAATTGGCGAGAACACGCTCTTTGGCCCTTTGCACTTCCTCTGCGCGTCCAAGTATACGAACATGTGGATCTAAGATGATGTTATTTTTMAAAAATATATTTGCGTGGTTTTAAAAATTTTCAAACGGATTTTTACCCTTTTTGCTTTTAGCGCCAATTTTAAGGCGACACGGCCAACTAATGTAAGTCTCGGTGGACTTCATAACCTAAAAAGTGTAAGTTATTTYGATTCAGAGGATATATAATCACAATGCGAATTGTGCGTTTCAGCTTACACTCTCGAAGAAATATTCAGCGCCATTCATGCCCTCAACCATACTATCCTCTATAAGCGAAAACCGAAATGAGGTTAGTTACTTTAGCCTCAAGTATTTTCGTTCTAATTTTCTTTCACTCACCCTTCAGCATTTGTTCTAGCTTTTGACGATCGACTTTGAAACGCTCCGTATGCAAGTCATCTGGATTGGCCACGCCTAATTTCAATGCAATTGCCCTAATATCACTCCAATCACTATCTGCCGATGAGATTTCACTTTGCGTTTCACTCGGTGCTCCACTAGATGGCGCGCCCAACGATTGCGGTGCGCTCGAAGTTGCTGGCGCCACAGTAGTTATTCCGCCTGCACCGTTTGGGTACAGGAGCTTGTTGATTTGTGCACAGGATAACATCATGTTATTGTTGTTGTTTTAACGATATTGCGCCGAAATAATATTGTAGTAAACAGTGAACTAATTTACGGAATCAGTATATAGCTTTYTGTTGTATTTAGCAATTCTCATGAATTGTTCGAAAAGATCAGTTATCAGTCTGGCAATTAAGATGTTTGTACGAAGCAGAGATCTTTACTGGAATATTAATTACTTGATCAGTGATGTGATATAAAAGATTGTCAAAATGAAAAAAAAAAAAAACTTGAATGGTACGTAAGGTCAAGGTTAGGAGTCGCGAATGGATGCGGAGTAATGTTGAAAATATTACTTCCAAGTCAAAAAAATTTGTAAAAAAAAAAACAGGAAAAAACTGTAATCCCGTAGCTACAATAATGAAAAAAAAAAGATCTCTTTCATGACTTTTATCGGTCAGTTTATATGACAGCCATATAGCACAGTGGTCCAACTGAACAATTTCTCCGGAAATTGCACTGCTTCTTTGAACAAGAATCCATACTAAATTTCTTTGCTATTTCCTCAAATCAACAAGTTTTTCATACAATAACTTGATTCCGATCGTTCGGTCTATATGTCAGCCTGCTTTATTGACCTAACCTGAAGAATTTCGGTGGGGATTACATTATTGCCGACTTTCTTGAAGATACCTCGTCCACTGAAAGTTTCTATCCAAGCACTTAATTCCGATCAATCAGTTTGTATAACACTATATGCTATAGTGGTCTGATATCGGCGGTTTCGACAAATGCCCAACTTTTTGGGAGAAAAGGAGTGTGCAAAATTTCAAGTCGATATCTCAAAAACTGAGAGATCATTTCCCATAAATACCAACAGACGGAAAAAAGGACAGACTAAAATGACTAAATCGGCTCAGCTCGACACACTGATTATTTATTGGGTAGTCGAAAAAGTATTTCCATATTTCTAMTCAAACTTCAACTTATTTTTTTGTATATTTATAATGAGCTTTAATGAACCAAATTTGTACCATTTTGGCCGACCAATTTTGGCCATTTTTCCTTCCTTCAAAACTTCATCAATAATATGTGTTGCCGAGCGTTTTCTTGATGGAGAACGAAGCCCTTTCTGTTGATTAGTTCTGGCCATTTTTTCGATTGCTTGCTTCAATCTCATCAGCTGTTGACAGTAAAATGTAGAATCAATCATTTGAYCAGGCTGGAGSTGATTCCTTCCCAAGCCAGCTTTCGAGACGTCAAACCTGGCTTTTTTTCAACTTCCCCGAATTTAATTTGGAAGCTCAAAATCTCACCTTTCTAACACTATATGCGACACAATGTGATTGGTAGCACTGGAGATACACGACTACAACGACATCTATTGACAAAATGCGAAACACTTTTTCGACTATCCAAGATACATTTTATAAGATCTCCGACGTACAAATTTCCTGATAACTTAACCAGAACAGGGTATATTAAAAAAAAAATCTTTCTTAGCCGAAATTGAAAATAAAAACAAAACAACTTAATCTAAATTTACAAAATAGCATTCCCTCGAAATTCAAGACTGGCAATAACTGMACGGTACTTTTCATATTTTCTTAGAGTTATATGTACTTATGCTTGAAATTTCACAAACAAAAATTTATATTTCCAATCTCTTGCAATCTTAAAATTTCAGCCATGTTTGGTACTTACTACAGCATATTTAGTAAACCCTACTAGTACTTTATAAAATACATACCATATTTTAGGTTTTTAGGCGTCAACAACACTTTGTCCAACAAATTACGTATTCAATGAAATTATTTAACGTCACCTTCAAAATGGTGGATTTAATGCAAAGCCATGTGTTGTTTCTTTGTAAATTCTATCTTATATGTAGTTTCGGCCACGAGAATCTAACTKTTCGTTTTTCAATAATTCGCACCGATTTTGTCAATTTTAGCGCCTAAAAAAGGGTTGTCACTTAGAAATTAGCTACAGAAAAATAAATTTGCTTTGAAAGATTTTAATTGTCCTRTGTCGAAATGTCTACTAAGTCTGACAGCGAATCGGATGCTCAGCCATGATCGGATTGGAAATATCACACTTATATATGTAAATATGTGCGATTTCCAGTTGCTGACCGCTAATTCCTGCAATACTTTCGCGCCTTAACAATTGGCAATACCATACACGGAATAATCTATTGGAACTTGGAAAAAAAATTTTCGGAATTTTATTTAACTTACGTCTTCAGATTTTTTATAAAAAATTCTTCGTTTCGTTCACTTTACAGCAAATAAATGTTGTAAATCCAGAAAAATATACTTGCAGCAGCCCGTCGTCTATTACCGTCGGCAGCCAAAAGTCCGGAGGGAAGTCAAAAGCGAATATCASCGAAATTTCTTTCAATTCTTTGCTTCTTTGAAATTTTGTTATTCAAAGCTTTTTCTGGCATAAAAATTCGCTTGCGAAAAATATTACGTGAAAGTCTATAATGTTCTATATTTCATATAAGAAATAAACAAGTTACAGTCAGTAAAATTTTTACAAAAAATATTATTGTTAATATATTCCCAGACAAGCTAGAGGAACATACAAAAGCAACTGAGGCACGGTTGGGCCAACAAAATAATTTTAAGTTCGAATTGGTGAGCGCTTAGCGAGCAAAAMCAGCAAAAATAGCAATCTCTATAAAAAGTTACTCAAAGGACCCGAATCATATTTACTTGAGGTGCAAAAACATCTGCAAATAGTTGTTGTCACGGGTAGGAGAAGTGCAGAGGTCATTGAACTAGTCAGCGATCGAGTGGTGAAAATCATCGGTTAATAAAATCAATTAAAATCCAAACAAGTGTGGTAATTTTTTGTTATTCTTTTTAATACAGGCGCGTATTTTCGATATTAGCAACATAAATAGTAATGTTGCTGCAGCATTTGTTGCGAAACAATTTCACAATTACTATTCGGTACAGAGACTTAACAGAGGTGAACACAGCGCTTCGAAACACTTAACAGCAGAGCAATGCTCTCAAAGCCTGCTCAATGAAATTTCCAAATACCGATCGCTGGCTGTAAATTTATTTAAATGTTTCCGATGAAAATATATAAGTTTTTCACACACATTTTCACACAACACTTTTAATTTTTGTTAACACTCACCTCAAACGTACAATATTTAATGAAGAATTTTTTGTAACGACGCAATCGCGGGCACTCATTAATTAATTCACGAATCAGACAAACATAATCTAATAAATTTACTTGTATACTTAATCACAATTATAAAATGTTGCACAGAAAAAAAAGGTTCAGCACGTGGAATTATCTTAGACATATACTAGTTACTTCGTTTACTTGCAATTTACGTTAAATTAATTTCGCAATTAAATTTTGTCAATTGGTCAGTAAAAAATTGAGAATCGTCAACAGAGGGAAGCAAGTGATTTTGTTCAATGAAAAAGTCACTTCTTCCAAAAAAAATGTGGTTGAAAAGTTGAAAAATTACATAACGCGTACCGAGGTCGTGATTTTATGAAAACACAGAAAACAGGGGCTTGGAACAGTCGTAGTCGAAAAAATTTAACACAATTTGTAGCAATTAACAATTTTGTAAAACAATCTATTTAACATTCCCATTTAGTAAAATAATAAACTTTAAGCACGCAGGACAAAATGAAGGCGTTTGATTTTTTTTTTTTTTTTTATGTATTCTTTTTGTAGTTTCTTATAGTTAGCTGTAGTTTGCGTTTTGGCGCGTAATTTGGCGTACGTCGTGTAGAGTGGAGCGAGTGCATGGAGTGACTGAGCGACCTGTGTGGCTCTTGAAAGGCATTCTTTCAACAAAAACAAATACTTCACTTCTGGACCATGTGATTCAATTGATGAGTTGCTAAAAACTWTGGAATTCATGAATGCAATAACAATCGCTACTATTCGTTGTTTTGCCCATTTTTGAAACGGTACTCAAGCGTAGTGAAAAATTCTACAGTGTACAGAAATCACAACGAAATTTGGTTGTATAAAAACAAAATAAAACTAACAAAAACTTTTTTAATTCTATGATAGTTTTTATATAAAAACATATAGATTTATATCCATAATTTGRATAAATTTATGATCAAGATTTTAATAAAAATTCGCTTTACTGGAGGCATAAAATTAATACAAATACACTTTTTTAATATAAGTACAAAAAACAWTAAAGTTAAAATACGTTTTTGAGCAATATGATAAAGTTATTTAAAAAATCAATATTATATTATTAGAGGTTCTTTTTTTCTCTATAAATAATTATTGAAAGTGGAAAGCTACACATCCCAACAACAACCCTTCTGTAAAGAAACCCGATCAATTTGCTATGCGAATTTAATATATTATACTAGTATTCGATTGGAAAAATGGTGATACTTTTGGTTTTGCATATTTTAATTAAAATCTCGACACATGAAATCGAAATAAAGAACGCGCCTATAAGACATCTTCAAAAGAAATTCTGAGATATAAAATAAAACTCATAAGAACAGAACTTTTTATTAGTACTTTAATTAAGACCATGAACTAATTATTAGAAGACTGAAAACATAAAAGTAAAAATTGTATAATTTTTAAARAGCTGTGATAGAGAAAAAATTCTTCACTAAAGACCTAGTAAATTATTATTAAAGCAGGTCATCAAAATTTTGGACAACCAACTTTGAAAAAAACCCGTTTTGAGAAAAATGCCTTTAAAGYTCTAAGTGGCTATATAGCTGACTTCTAGCGCGCAATTTGTCAAGGCTCTCAGATCAACTTGAGAATTAAGACAATATCTTAGGGATATAACTTAAACTTTTTATTCAAACAGAAATCCTTTTAAATTATTGCAGATATTTTTTTGATTTACTTTAAGGGGTTATATACAACTAAAATGAATTTTTTGTTTTATTTTATTAAATATACATTATTACTAGAGGATCCGGCCACGCATTGCTGYAGTATATATTTTATACTTATACTATTCAGTACAGCGAAAATTTCATTTACGAATAAAGGCGAGACCGTTTTTGACGTTATAAGAGTCCACTTAATAGAGCGTCCAATTAATACAGCTTTCTCTGTATTTCTTATTTATAAATCAGTTTGACTATCCTATCTTCTAAGTTGCTTAAAACTGTCAGTGTGCTAAATTTTGCTAAAATCGGTTAACTAGTTTAGGAGTCCATCGCGGACAAACAATATGACACGT